TGCTCACTCGCTCCCCCCCACCCCCGTGGCTTATCATGAGCCACTCAGGAAAGGCCTGCAAAACCTCCGGACTTTATGCTTACTCTCTCACCTTGCCCCACCCTCAAGCCTTCCCAGAGCATGGAAACTATATTCTGCATCTAATTTCTCACTTTCCTTAAGACCTGGGGCCACAGGAACAAGACCTCAGTGCTGTTAGCCCAGCCCAAGTGAACCTGCTAGCCCCTTCCCTCACCCCTAAGGAGCCCACACCTGCCCTCCTTTGGGCCACTCTGCTTCTCTCTCCTTTCCCAAGGCCTAAAGCTAATGTCCTGGCCTCTACCAACCTCCTCTTGGTCTAAACTGCTAGTGCTATGGCTTCTCCCCCTCTCCTCCTCCTGACACCCCGCATCTCTCCAGCTGCATCCCGGCCATTACCTCTAGGCCAGTGTCTCCCCTGGGGTCCACCTCGGGTATACCAAGGTCCTTTTACACCTGTTTTTCTCTCTGTACTGCCCCAGCAGTGAAGGCTGTGAGCCTCTCCAATTTGTCCCCTTCAGCCTCAACCATCCTGTCCTCTCCAAGCCAGGGCCAGATGTACCTGCCCTCCAGCCACAGCTCCTGCATTCAGTTCTGCCCACTTCCACCCACTGCCCATTCTGCTGAAGGACAATAGCCTCCACCTTCCCACTGCTGAAAATTCCTTTAATGGCTCCTTTCAAGGCAAAACCACAGACTCCAAGACAACCTGAGGCCCTGCCCTTGCTTCCTGGCCCACAACTCCCCCAGCCTTAAACAACAGTGCTATCTCTTGACTCTTTTTTAAAAAAATATTTTATTATTTTATTTTATGTGTGTATTGCCTGCACATATGTAAGTGCAACTGTGTTGTACAATACCCAAGAAGGTCAGAAGAGGGCCTCGGATCCCTGGCAGGGGAGTTACAGACAGTTGTTAGCCACTGTGTGGCTAATATTCCTAGCTGGGCATAGTGATGCACTCCAAAGGAAGCAGAAAGATTAGCAGTTCAAGGCCAGCCTCTGCTACAAGAAACTGTGTCTGAACTCCAACCCCACCCCACCTCTGCCTAGGGAAGGTACTTCCTCTTCCCACTGACCTAATGTTACTACTATGTTAAAACTATACAAAGTCACCCCCTCCAGAAAGCCTACTGACTTCCCCAAGCTAAGACAACCCTCTTCTGAGATTCCCTCAGCACACTGCAACTGAAATAGTTATATAAGCTATAAGCATCAGGCCCACAAATCAGCTAACATGCCCTGGGGGGCCTCATAAGTCCATACCCACCCCACAGGGACTCCAGGCAATCAAGAGTAGGAAGCAAAGCTGCTTACTTAGTCTCAGTCTTGAACACCCCTGACACAGGTTCACTCAGTACCTAAGACAGCTCTGCTCCTTCCTTGGGACAGGCCCGGGACGTAGTTTCACAAACATGAAAGTGTGATTGAGTCCCCACACAGGGCAGAGCAGGGAAAAGAAAAGACACATCTGTACTGGGGATGATTGAAAGCAGCTCTAAGACTCCCTGGAAGAACAGACTAGGGGACTTGGCTCTCAGTCCGAGCTCCCCACCCCACCCCTCCCCACCTCATCTGAGAAATGGGAACAGTTCTATGTGCCACATCACATCACAGTATAAGCTCACACTCTGAACAGACATAAAGCCAACTCTGAAAAGAAGAAAACTCTAAGGAGTGTAGAGTGTTGAGCAGAGGTTGTGCCTAAGGAAACCATAGCCACCAGTTCCCACTCCCCCATGCACAGCCCCACCCACCTGGAGGTGGGGGCTCAAAATGCCTTTCTGACCTGATACTTCTCCATCGGCCCTAGGCCCTGCCCTGCAGCCTCTCTTCCTAGAATCTGTTTTCTGGTTCCCCCTACGGACTGGAAATTCCTTGGGTCTCACAAAGAATAGATGCTCAGCTACCCTGGGCAACTGGACCAATGAGCCGGCAAGTGCCCAAGCCAGCCTGGGGCCTCACAGAGGCCAGGGCTGGAAGCTGAGCAGCACCCAGCCCCATCCCCTGCTTCTCAGAGCACAGCCTTTCTGCTCATGCCTGCTTCATTCAGGGCCCCTGGAGAGTCCATGTCCCTCTGTGCTCCGCTGCCCCTACTGAGCCTTGACCCAAGTCTCCAGACCTCTGCTTTCATCGTCCTCAGCAGGTGAAGCAGAAGTCTCAGCCTCTCCATTCTGCCCAATGCCACAGCCACACAGGCATCTGCTGGCCATTCAGCCACCCTAAATGGACGGAAACCTGGCCCTAAAAACCAGCGACAAAGCCAGTGAGGTGCCTAATGCAGCTGGAGAGCCCCTTCTGGGGGTTACGGGTATAGAAAGCATTTGACAAATGCTTTCCTTCCTCTCTTCTGAGTCTACCTTTGATTCCTTTCTGGACTAAGTCTTAGTCCCTTCTCCAGGTCTCTGCTTCCTCACCCTGCCTGCACAGAAAACTGCTGTGGGCTTCACTGCTACCTGTTAATATCCCCAGGGTCTACGAGGAGAGCCAGCCTTCCTGGGAGCCCCAGTCCCCTACCAGTGGCATCCCTGCACAGCACATGCAGCTCTCATCCACATCTCCTGCCAGGGTGTGTTGGCTCTCCCTGACTTTATTCTTTGTCCTCTATCTTTGTCAGTGCTATTCCCCAAACTTTTGGCTTATGGGGTCACCCTGAGGGTATAAGGTTCCACAGTGGAGACAGCTTCCAAGCTGGTTCCACAGAAAGCTCATGGCTTCAAAGCCTCCACCACTGGCCTCAGAGAGGAGAGGCCCTCTTTACCCTTGGCAAAAATAAGGCTGAACCATGAAACACATCCACTCCTGTGTCACTATGCTCCCTCCCCACTTCCTCCTGAAAAGGGTTCTTTTGGACGCTCACCTGATACTGGGCTGGGGCTCCTCAACTGGTCGTGTCTCCAAGGGCAGAAGCACAAGCGGGGAAGCTGGGGTGGCTGCAGCGTGGTCTTCCCCGCATGGAACAGGGGAGCCCTCAGTGGGAGAGAGCTCAAGGGGGCCCAGGGGTGAGGCTGGCTCCCCAGGGGGTGAGGAGGAAGAGGTCAAGGGCCAGGCTCCAGGTGGGGGAGGACATAGGGGGCCAGGCACCCCAGGGCAGTGGCTGGCCCAGGGTGAGAGAGGGGATGGTGGAAAGATAGGTTCTGGGACTGTGGGCAGCTCTTCTGGACCAGAGTGGATGGACGATTCTCTGGATCCTGGAGGTGATATGGATGGGAGAGTGGGGGGATCTGGACTCTCCTGACACAAAAAGGGGCTCAAGGTCTCCTTCTCCGAGGCCCACAGATCAGTCTGCTGGAGGGTGACTGAAAGAGGCCCCAAACCCTCTAGTGTTGGCTCCTGCCTATGGACTTCAAGGCCTTCACCTGTCTCTGAAGACCCCCAGACTTTCTGACTCAGCAGAGCTGAACTCACTGAGTTATGGGTTGTGGGGACAGGCCCCTGAAGGCAGCTGGTGGGCACAGGTGGACAGGCCCCAGACCCAAGGATACCAGCATCCCCTATTTCCTCTTCCAAGCCTGGCTCACCCAGAAAGGCCTCAGAGGATAAGCTTTGCAATTCTTCCAACTCCGGCTGCACCCCCTCCTCCTCAGACACCTGGGAACCAACAATCAATGAACTTGGGGTGGTATCTTCTTCTATCCCTGCCCCCCTGTTACTCAGCCCCACCGCAGCATTCTCTTCTTCCTCCTGGTCCTCTTCTTCCTCCTCCTTCACCTGGGAATTTGAGGGTGTGAAGAGGCGTGGTGGCTTGGGAGGTGGAATTCCAGGCCACACCCCCTCACCCAACCCCTGCTCAGGCTCTGACTCCAGCTGCAAGGCAGAGAGCCACTCACTCCCTCTGGGGTGCACAATGTCTGGTGATGCAGGCTGCACCTGAGGAGACATCTCATCGGACTCTCCCCGCAGGATAGGTGAGGCAACCTCAGCTGCAGGAGAGATAGTGACCACATCCCAAGGCCAGGAATCCTCTGCTGTGTTGAGCTCATGGAAAAGCTTGCTTCCACCTTGGGGGGCCTCCTCATCCTGGCCCGTGGGGGTGTCATCTGAACCAGGTAGTCTCTCCCACACACTGAGCACTTCTGGGGAGCTGAACAGAGATGCCCCGCTATCTGCTGGACTCTGCGCAGCTCCCCCTTCTGAGGCAGGAGGTTCCTGATCTGGTGTCCAGGCGGAGGCTTGCAGGTGCAGCTGGGCTGCTGCAGAAGATGGGCTGACCCCTGAAGACCCAAGGGGCCCTGGGTCAGACATATTTGTGCTTGGCTGGTCCAGTCCTGAGTCCATAGGAGCCCTGTGCTCCAGCCACATGCTGCTCCCACCTGTTCCTCCCCCAGGTTCTCTCTGGGGCTCCGTTGCCTTCACTGTCATGGTCCCAGGACCCGGGTCTTGCAGCCCAGCCTCCTCCAGCCCCACTCCTGCAGGGGCCAGGATCTCACTCCTGGCCTCTGGCTGCAGCCTGCCAGCGGCAAAGATGTTGAAGGTGTCTTCCCACTCAGGCAGGGCTTTCCCAGGGGAGGCCAGGGGGGCCAGGCTGGCCCTCAAGGCACTGGGGAGAGAGGGAGCAGGTGAAGGAGAATTTAGTGCTATGTTGGCTATGAGCTCCTCAAAGAAGGGGTTTCTCTGCAAGGAGGTGAGGAATGGATTCGTGACCCCCAAGAGTCCAGATGGGGTAGCTTCAGGGGCAGTGGTGGCTGTGGCGGCAGTGGCAGCAGAGGGGGAGGCGACTGCAAAAAGGTTAGTGCTTAGCATGGGAGCGGCAGCGGGAGCAGGAGTGGGGGCGGCCAGAGCCCTGGGGGAGTAGGGGTGAGGAGGAGCAGCTGGGTCAGATTCTACCTGAGGAGACACGTCCAGGCTGTGGAGGAGACAAAACCATGAGCCTCCTGGTTAATGCTGAGACTGGAAATAGCTCTGCCAAGTACCACCCCTACCCCACCCCCAGGCCGAGTGCCACACCACCACATGGGCTGTGCACAACCACACAAGCCAGAGGACCAAGTGAAGGAAGATCCAAACATTATGAAGCACCACTAAAGGAGAAGGATGCTGGAAGAGCTCACATAATCCTTAGGCCCAGCCTAGCCAGCAGTCATCACATCTCATAAACAACATCCAAACCTAAAGCAGTCCCTTCAACTAGCCCATACTGAAGAGATTACTCAGCATTGGGTTCACGCTTCAAAAACAACCCCAAAATACCCAGCATCCCTTTAGCACTGAGAGCAAAGGAAACACTAGCTGGCTTGGAGGAAGGGATCAGAGCCAAACTGGACAAAAACACAGCACTAAGAGAACCAGCAGGGTACTTGGGATGCTAAACTGAAACAGACTGTCATACTGAGCCCTTCCTTGCAGAGAGAGGTAAGAATGGGCTGTCATCAGGCATGACAAGATGTCAAAGCAAACCACCCTTCCCATGTCATTGGGGGTCTGGGGGAAATACCAGTCTAAGGCATACAAGATACCTGCTGAGCAGGCCTACTGCACCCACAGGCAGCACTCCCTCACCTTACCTCCCTCAAGGGCCAGCCTTGGGAGATGAAGGGACACACTCTGAACTGAGAGCCTTTGGTTCCCCAGGACACAGACAAAAGAATCAGAAAACAGCAAGGAAGAAAAGCAGACCAAACACCCCAGTTTGAGCAGATTAACAGAGGCTTGTGGATGAACTTGCAGTTAGACCCCAATTCTGGTGACCTGCTTTCCAGCAAGTTCCATCCTCAGAGACAGTTTGTCAGTTCTCCAAGCTCCCAAGGCCCCATTCCTTTACTCCTGCTGCCTAAATAAGAGAATCCAGGGGGAAATTCCTATCCATCTTTCCTACTCAACCAGCTTCTCAGAAAATACTAGTGGGAGCCGAAGTGACTGAAGCAAGGCTTTCCCAGCTAGCCATGAAAAAGTGGGCTGGGGTAGAAGGGCAGGAGGCTGAGCTATTTGGAGCTTGCCTCATTCTTCAAATACTCGGGATCCAAACTAGGCAGGTTATACATTGACCCTGGCAGGCAAGGGGAAAGAATCCAGGTCAGCCAGAGGCAAGAGGGCTCCAAAGACAAGCATGGAAAGGAAGGTCAGCCTCCCCAGAAGGACCCAATCAGATCCTGAACTCATGGTTTTTTATAACGATTCAGCTTCCAAAGCCAGGCATGGTGGTTCATACCTGTAATCTTAGCACTGGGGAGGTGGAAGCAGGAGATCAGAAATAGGGCCAGCCTGGACTATATGAGATCCTGTCTCAAGAAATCAAATTTTTAAAAAGAGGATGTGGCTATAACTCAGTTGGTAGAATATTTGCCTAACATGCATGAAACCCTGGGTTTTATCCCTAGCACTGCACATACCAAGCATGGTGACATAAGCTTATAATCCTAGCACTGGAGAAGTACAGGCAGGAGGATCAGAAGTTCAAGGTCATCTTCAGCTATAATCAAGTTCAAAGCCAGCCTGTGCTACATGAGATTCTGCCAAAAACTAAATAAATATTCAGCTTCCAAGATTCCTGTGACCTTTATTTCTTTCCCCTTGAATAATTACTCCAACCCAGTTGGAAGGTAGATCTCAGTTTCATCCCTACCTCTTAATAAAGACACAGGGCACGGGTGGTGAATGTTCTCATGCCCCATCCCAGGCTCCCAGCACTGCCCTGTTTATATGGACATGGGAGGGCACTGTAAAAAGAAGAACCCTTGCCTAGGGTCCCAGCTCCCCAGACACCTCTTTTCTCTTAATTCCAACCATGTCCCAGGCATAGGTGTGAGAAGCAACACACCACCAACCACCACATGGGTCATAACCCTGCTTAGACCTAGATGCAACCCAGGCACAGGGCCCAGGCACTCTGAACTACACTACCTTTCTCTAGACCCCTCATGATAAGTGGCCCTAGTGGTCTGAAGGAAGAGGATCCATCAGCATTACATAGCAGAAAGCTGAGTTCCGGCCTGGCCCTGTCCCCCCTGGCCCCCCGCAACACACACACACACACACACACACACACACACACACACACACACACACACACTCACCCTTAAGCTCACGGCAATCTGCTGGCAGTCAGAACTGCAGGGAGAGGAGCACCAGGGAAGCACACTAGGAGCCCCAGGCTCAATCAGCAGCCTCCTCTGTATCATAGCTCCCCAGAGATGCACACAAACCAGTTGGTATGGAATCAGCAAAGGGTTCTCCCTGGAGGCCAGGCCTACAGGCAAGCAGGCCAAGCAGGCTTTCCAAAGCCAGTGGTGCCTGCTAACCCCCATCCATCTGTGCTCTGCCTATTGCATACCAATCGCACATTCTGAAGGTTCTCAGTAGGAAACACTGCCTCCCTACAAGTCCACATGGCACAGGGCAGAAGCACATTCCCTTGTCCTGAGAAGGCCTCTGCAACCTGGTACCCACTGGGCCAACCTGGTACCCCCAATAAGTAGGGTACAATATATGCTGATTTGTCTCCTTCAGAGCCAAACACTCGGGAGAGAAGTCAGAAGTCCAAGCAACTCTGTCCTTTCCACCCTGGGAATAAACTTCAAGGTATACAGGAATCTTGGGACAACTAGTTGAACCTGCCACTTATAGTTCACTGCAATGCCCCCTTTTTTTTTAAGTTTTTTTGATACAGTGTAGCCCAGGATGACCTCAAACTCATAGCAATCCTGTCTTCTGTGTGCCAGGATTGTAGGCACATGCTACAATACCCAGCTGCCCACCTCCTTCTTAAATACCACACCCTGGGGCTACCTCTGTGGAAGGCAAGTTCACTACTAGTTGTGGCTTCCCTGGGCTGAGATGAGCTATATGTCCTTGTTCCCTGCATTAGGTGCAGATGTGGCAAGTAGGCTGCCCACAAGTCAGTCCTCAAGGGGCAAAGTCAGCCTTTAAGACACCATTCCCAGCCTATGTGCCCTCTGGACATACCTATTGAGCATGAGTTCCTGGCATCCTCCTAAGATGGGCCCCAGTGTCAAGGAAACTCTTCTCATTGGGACACAATAAGGTAACAGAGGGGCTTGGTAAGTGGCAAGTATAGAGACTCTAGCATCTAGCTTCCAAACCAAACCACTGTTAACAGAGTAACTTTATGGGGAAACAGCCACAGACAGGACAAGAAACATGCTGAAGTGCCTGGCTGAGCACTTCAGCTACTTATTTACACAAGCAGAGGGCACCTGAGACGCCCTGCCCTTCTACAAGCCAGCACATCCCAGGCCTACTGAACTGCAGTCTACCATATCTGGGGAGGGGCTGAGGAGACACAAAGGAGCTAAAGGCCACTTAATGACACTCCTGGCTCTCTGTTGCAACCGATTTACCCTCCCTCGATTAGATTTATTTACTATTGCATTTTTTATTGAATTTTTGCAATTTTCATACAATACGGTTTGATGTAAATTTCTTTTTGTATTCATATTTGGTCACCTCCTAGTTCAAAGGTCTACCATGAGGAGGAAGGGACAAAAAAACAATACAGCCTGGTGTGGCCACTGAATGCCACAGCACAACACAGAGGAGTCCTGTGGCACAGATGGAGCTCGATGGGTGCACTCCCACTCCTCAGCCTTATACAGGTAGAGGCCTGGGTAACAGCCAAGGGCCAGGAGGGCAAAACGACCATATTCCCAGTCCCTCCAACCTCACACCTCTGCCAGCCACTGCATTCTCCAACGGCACTGCCTCAAGCCTCTCCATGGGGCACCAGAGCCATATGGGGGCACTAGAGGGCGCTGCTGCCCTTATTAGAGAAAAACTTCAGGCTCTACAACAGTAGCCCTGACAGAGGCATCCCAAGCCCCTAGGCCTCTGGTCAGGCCCTCCAGGTCCTAGCTAGAGATCTTGCAGCTGCAACCAGTTACCACAGTTCTGGGTCTAACCTGCAGCTGCTCTTGTCTCTCAGTTCTTTCCTTATAACTCCAATAAACATTCCAGGTAAGCACCAACAACTGCTTCTCCAGGGTCAGCCTTCCCCTCCCACAATAGGCACCCAGGGCTCAGGTGAACTGCTGGAGCTCACAGTCTTCAAAGGGCAGCCCCTCTCATCCTACCTGAATGCTTGGTTCAGAGCCTGCCCTGGAACTGCCACCTGCCGGTGGGCCTAGGGCAAGTAGGGATGCCAAGGTACCCTCTAGCCTGCTAAGGACAAGGCTCAGAATTCAAGTGTGAGCAGGACAGAAATTTCATCTTCCTTCTGCCCATCGCTAACCTAAATTCTCTGAACTCTGAGAGTCTGTTAGGAGTCACAGAAACACAGGAGAAGGAAAATGGAGATGGAATAAACCTAGGCACTCAGCACTTCACATGAAGAAAGCAAAACCAGAGCTACCGAGTCCCCTCCCCACTGGTTGAAAACAAGTGTAGGATCCTCTCTCTGCCCTAGCTCCTGGCCCCTCAAACAGGACCCAGCCTTCCCATCTTCCTCTACCCATGGGGGGGCAGGGGGTACTTGCTGAGAAGAGAGAAACAACTGGCCTCAAGACACAAGCTAGGACTACCACCAATGTTGGATAAGAGGGGCAGGCTTCTGTGTCCTCCCCAGGGAGACTCCAAGCTGGGGTCAGAGGCTTGCAGACTCAAGGCAGAAGGCTAGGCACATTCCCAACAGAACAGAACCACCAATACTTCCAATAGTAGTATGCCCCAAGACCAATAAAACTAGTGACCAGAGCACCAGAGGCCTCTGCTCAGGGACACAGTTCAGGGGAGCTGCCACAGCCTCTTTCCAGGCTAAGAAGCAACTAGGGGTAAGGAAAAAGGATGGAACATTGATTTATTTAATTCCTGTCCTCAAAGGGGAGAGATCTCAGAGCCAGATGGACAGCCAAGGGAAGTCATCTAGCTTCAGAGACAGTAGGGCATCTGAGGGCACCGTCCCCAGTCTCAAGGCTTTCTTACCTTGAAGTAAGAAAGAGGAGGAGGTCAGGAAACCAAAAATCCATACAAATGAATCCTTCCTGCCTCTGTGCTGCCAACTCAAGCAACAGGACCTGGGCCAGTCTTGATCCACAGGACCCTCACAGTGCTGTGCCCTTGCAACTCACCTGTATCCATGTGCACAATATGAGCCTTGGCTCAGGAAAACAGGATACTCCACTCAATCATGCAAAGCCAGATCCCAGGCAGCCTGCTCCCTGCTCCTCCCTGCCCCAGGCCCCAAGTGACAAACACCTAGACTCCTCCCCACATAGCAAAAGGGGCCTTGCTAATGCATACCTGGGCTTCTGTGTTGCTTCCTTGGATTCTCTCAGGCCAAACCAGCTACTCTTGGCCTTTTCCTCCCAGGTAGATGGGTGGTGGGGGGAGGTTCCCAGAGAGGGACTCCCTTTCTCCCCCACTGAGCCACGGCGCCCCAACTCGCTCCGACTCAGCCCCTGGTGATGATGATGGAAGAGGCCCATCCGGGGCTTCCGCTCCTTTTCTGCCACAGCCTCAGAGGAGGCCACTATGGGTGTGGCAACCTGGACTGGCTTTCCCTCTGGAGGTGGCGCCCCCTCCTCCTCTCCAGAGTGACTGGCTCCTGGGGCCAGCACCTTGGCTTGACTGCTCAGCTCCTCCTGTCCAGGTACCACCTCTGAGCTACTGGTGCTACGCCTGCCTCTGTGCCAGGAGTCATCTGAGGACTGAGGCCCCTCCTCCGTGGGCCGAGAAGAGACGCTGTGCAGGGAGCTGGAGGGTGGGAAGGGGCCTGAGATGGAGCTGCGGTGTCGTAAGAGGGGCTGAGGCTCCTCATTGTAAACGTGGCTCCCATTGACACAGAGGGAAGAACGGGAGGCAGCATCATGGTGGCCCTGGAGCTCTAGAAGTGCCCGGGGAGGAGCTGCTCGCATCTGGCTGGCCTCATCGCTGAATGTTCTCTTGTGAGTGAGCAGTTTGGGAGACTGTGTAGAGTCCCTGCCTAGAAAGGAGACGTGTGGCATGAGCACTTGGACAGAGAAACCCCATTTCTTTGCCCCAGGCCTTCCTTGCCTCCTGAGAGGAGCCCACCCTCTCCCCTTACTCACCCCCTTCAGTGGACAGCCAGCTGCTGTGGCTTGGTGAGCGGGTGAGAAGTTCAGCACCAGGGCCCTGGTAGACCAGGCTGCCACTGGCAGAGGACAGGGTACTATCAGAGCCCAGCGAGGTATTGGACTGGGTGAGAGAGGACTTGCGCAGTTTGTTGCGGAGGAAGAAGCCTTTAGCTTTGCCCATCTTGCCCAGACTGCCCAGCTCAGGGTCCTCCAGGGCACTGCTTGGGAGAATGGCTGAGGCAGACTCCAGGTCATACTTCTTCTTGCCTTTCATCTTGTCCTTGAGCTTGCTGAAGGGGGACCGAGGCTTGTCCTTCATGGACAGGTCGAACATGCTGGCACTCAAGTTGTTTCGAGTGAACTGGATGGTCACTTGGATCTCGCCACGCTCCTTCTCCTTCTTGCCTGGCTTGGAGCACAGCTTGTACCACCTGTGAGAAGAAGTGGGCAGAGCTCTGGTCACAGGCACTATACAGAACCTCTCCCCACTTTGAAGGCCAACAGTAGCCTCTCCTCCCAGCTCCTGCTCTGACACACAAGCCTGGTCTTTGAAGCTGGCACTGCTGAGGCTGTCACAAACTTGTCCATCAAGGAGAATATAACCTGCTGAGTTGGGAAAGGTGGTTGGTTGGGTGCTAATGAGCATTAGTGACCACAGCACAGCTCCTTTCACCCAGTGCCTTTCCTAGAGTTTACAGACCCCACACTACCTATCACCACCTGTCTGAAACTCTGAGGCCCAAAGGAGTGAGGCTGGGCCTTTGGAAGAGGAGAATTGCCATATATCCAGGTCCTGGGTATGGCCAGCCCTATCCATGATCCCCCTATTCACATCCTCTCTTCTGGCCCATCTCAACAGATGATCTGAATCCCTAGAAAAGAACAGCTCTTAAAGAGGCCCAAGGCCAGAAATACAGGATACTATGTGTACACACACCCCTCACTTATGCACTGACTCACCCCAAGGCCTGCCAAGACTACCTCTGTGAGGCAGAGAAGCAGACAGACATGACTGCGACCTGAAGCAACAGAGTCGGAGAAGAAAAGCATCTGCATCTAGAGTACCATGGGTGGACAGCCAGCAAGACTTTCTTCCCATTCCCACCCTACCAGGTTCTCCTGGGAGATGATCATCACCCTGTTCTACAGATTGAGAGATGAGGCTTGGACCCAGAACAACAGACAGGGAAAGAGAGGGAACACTCACAAGCCAGGTTCTCATCACACCAAAGCACATGTTCTTCAGCTACACCCTCCACAGGAGTCACAAAGGCAGACTAAGCTGGCCATGGTGACTCACACCTGTAATCCCAATACTTAGGAAGCTAAGGCTGGGGGATCATTGAGAGTTCAAAACAAGTCTGAGCTAAATAGTGAGCTCCAGGTACACAGAGCCCACTTTACTGGGGAGAGTATACTTATTTTCCCTTTGTTTTTAGGAACAGGGTCTCATGGCCGACAGGCTGGCTTTGAACTCAGTATGTAGCTAACATTTATCTTGAACTCCTGGCCCTCCTGCTTCCACTGCCCAGGTGCTGGGACTACAGGTATGCACCACCATGCCTGATTAACTCTGAACCTCTCTGAAAGCTAAACATACTTTTGTCATACAAGGACAATTGTATTCCTTAGTATTTACCCTGTTGAGGTACAAACTTATACCCACAGAAAAATCTCTCACAGACACTTGTAGCACTTCTATTTATAATGGCCCAAGATATCCTGAATAGGTGAATGGATAACACATTGATACCTCCAGACAGCCAAACATTATGTGGGGAGAAAGAAATGAGCTCTCAAACCACAAAACAGACATGGGAAGATTTTTAAGTGCTTAAGAAAGAGAAGCCTACCTGAAAAAAGCTGTACACTACGTTTCCACTATGTGACATTCAGGACAGGTAAAACTATCAAGACAACAAACTTTAGAGCCCAGAAGGATGGTGCATACCTGTAGTCTTTCCACTAGGGTACTGAGGCAGGAGGATCAGTCTAAAAATCAGTCTGGGCTACACAAGGAGACCCTGTCTCAAAAATAAAAAAAAAAAAAAAGAGATCAGTGACTTCCAGGTGACTGACCAAAGGGAAAAAGGAATGAACAGGCAGAGAACTTGTAAAATGAACAGGGAATATTCATAGCAGTGAAACTCTCATGTATGATGCCATCATGGTGAATAGATGTCATTTTATGTTTGTCAGAACCCAAAGAATGTACAATACACAGACTGAGTCCTGATGTAAACTAGACTCTAATTAACAATGTATTAGCTGGGTATGGTAGCATATACCTTTTTTTTTTTTTTCAGTCTTTTTGAAACAGGGTTTCCCCCTATAGCATCAGCTGGCCTGGAACTTGCTATGTAGACCAGGCTGGCCTTGAACTCACAGAGATCTGCCTGCCGCTACTTCCCAAGTGCTAAGATTAAAGGTATGCACCATCATGCCTGGCCAGTAGCATACATCTATAATCCCAGCACTTAGGAGACAAAGCAGAGGAACTGCCAGAAGTTCAAGAGTAGCCTGGTCTACACAGTGAGTTCCAGGCCAGCCAGGACCATACAGTAAGGCCTGTCTCAAAAATAAGCAACAAGGCCAGGCGTAGTGGCACACTCCTTTAATCCTAGCACTAGGGAGCAGAGGCTGGCCTGGTGGTCTACATAGAGTTCCAGGCCAGCCCATGCTACATAGTGAGACCCTGTCTCAAAAGAAAGAAGAAAGAAAGAAAGAAAGAAAGAAAGAAAGAAAGAAAGAAAGAAAGAAAGAAAGAAAGAAACAAAGAAAGAAAGAAAGAAAGGGGGG